TGAGATCCTAACACGGCTCGATTCAGGCGTGAAAACACCCAACATCACATTTTGTTGACCTTCTGGTTTCTTTATAAAATCTGTTTTAATTGCATTTTTTCTCTTGTGTAAAAACAACTTTAACCTCAACCAGGCACAACAATTGTCCTGCAGCAATTCCAATCAAGTTTTTTTTTTACCACAGAAATTGAAAATGTGCAAAATACATGAAGAAGGATAAAAGGAAAGCAAGTTTTTAGGTATGCAACAAAAGTCAACAGAGTCGAAACAGTACTGGCCCTGATGTTTAGAACCACTATATCTTTAAAGGTGTGAGCTGCTCCAGCTCAGCTTCACCTGACTGATATTGCGGTGATACTCGGCTCTTCTCTGTTAGCTTCACTGGTTTGTTCCAGGGTATGAGGCAGTTAGCTGTTATAGCATCTCTATATCCCCCCGAGGAACCAGCTGCTCTGTTGTTTTTTTGCTTCTCCACAGGCTGTTCTTTCTCTTCTTTTGGCCTCCCAGGGGAATTTACATGACACCTGCTGAGCTAAATGGTGGATTCTCTTCATGTGCAGAGCAACACAGATTTCCATTCACCCATCTGTTTAGGAAACAGTTATAATGGCTGCGTGTTCCTATATGAACATCGTAGGAAAACTCCCCAAACTGCAGGGATGAGTCGTTTCATCTCATTCTATCATGTCTCGCATGCACAGCATCATTTATTTTTTCCATTCCTCAAGGTCAAAGTGGAAATAATAACTGAATAATGAGGATAAATGCATGAGTCGTCCGTACCTGTGGGATTACTTTCATGCCCCGATGATTGACTCATGCATCAGCGAGTGGATTTTTCATGTGGTACCCTCATCTCACAGCTTTTTACGTTATCCTTTTTTTCTATCCTGTCCCCTCCCCTCCCCTCCCCTCCACACTTTCTCCGTCACACACATTTCCCCTCGGCATCATCACATTTCAGCCGCGTCATGATAGTGCTGCTCTCACACGACTGATGAGGAACAACCTCAAGAGAGAAACGAGAGAAGAGCATCACATCTGTTCAAATGACCTCCTTCACCCTTATGCGCCTCACTGAGTCCAGACTAGTGGAGCTGCTGCAAGAATTGGACTCTCTTGCACTGCTGTATGAGCACACACACACACACACACACACACACACACACACAGAATCTATTTTTGGATGCATGGCCAAATATTGGGCCATAGTGAAGAGAGCTGCAGTCATCATGCAGCGTGTGTTCTAACTGCTACTCATTTCCAGTGAAAGGAACCCCGTTCTGGCTTTTTACTTGTTAATTTAATCATCATACGAGGTCACAATGATACAAGAATAGTTATTTAATTGTGAAGCCATCAAGAGAAAATTTACATTTTGGAAAAATTGGATATAATCTGATAAATTTGGGAGAACACCCTAAACCGAGAGGCTGTGAGGATTCAGGTTTGAGAGATTTATTCAGACAGGAAAATGACATGAAGCGCGAGATGGACAGATCCGTGACAGGGAAAAGACAGAAAAGATTGGTGATGCTTGTCAATCAAACATGCCAGTGAAATCTGAATTATGAATATTTTGAGATCACAGTGACTTTAACAGAAAAGCCTTATGTCTTTGTGTCTAAAAATCTGGCAGTTTTGGAAAAGTTTAGATTTTTTTTTTTCAACAACCAAAACTTGGAAAGCATTGGATCGAGAAGCTAAAAAGATGGACAAAACAACAGTTCCCTAAAAGTGAAGGGTAGGTGTGACATGCGGTGTAAAAAGCCCTTTGAGTAGTCAGAAGACTGGAAAAGCGCTATACAAGCTCAAGTCCATTTACCATTCCCTTTATGACATCACAAAGGGCAGTAACCCCTCCCCCATGTGGGCAACACTCCCACAACTATGTGTTTTTCTTCTTCCCTCTCACAAAAAAATAGGGCATGGAATGACAAAAGCCAGAGCCATATCCCCTTCCAGAGAGGGGGCGTGGTCAGACACAGCTCATTTGCATTTAAAGCTACAGACACAGAAACAGCCTGTTCTGAGCAGGGCTGAAATAGAGGGGTTTATAGACATGATAAAACACAGGATCAGAGTGGATCTTTAACTTAACAAACTTCAGAGATATGTTATGGGAAGCTCTAAGACTTATTTAAACTTGTTGAAAATGAGGATAATATGTGACCTTTAAAATGGGATATACAAACTCATTTAGACAGTACATTTCATTTCAAGACACTCAGCCAGTAAATTCTGCTTGACCTTTTGGCAGATTGTTTTTTTTTTCTTATTACTAGCAATGTAGGTCTTCTTTTTTCAGTTTAAATCCTGAAATACAATGTGTGTATGGACTTACATGTAAGAGATATTTTTGCCTAGATATGAGACTAATACACTTGTGTTGATTAGAGCTTTTGCATTGGACTTACATCAGTGCCAAAATGCTGCATAGAACTGGATTTATTTATAGAGCGTCTTTGTTTCATAGCTCTGTAACCTGATATAACACCTGTAAAATTTGACATTGTTCGGATCCATTTGTGTGCCCTTGCCTTCAACGCCAAGCTCGCAAATGTTTAATATGTAGATGTCACTAAAAAAACCTAAGGGGGGGAAGAGAAGAAGAAGATTAGAAGAGAGATTGCACCACTGGAGTATGCAACAAATTGGGAACAAACAGTCACTGAGAAAAAAAAACCTAATTAGTCAGGATATCTGTTCTGCTGGAGATAGACAGCAGTGTTTGGCACGTAGATGATGAGTATCACCATGTGGTTGTTGACGGTGGTGGAAGGTCAGATCCAGGCCATGTGGAAGCTATAAGCCGATGAGGGGAGGGGTCTTGTAATGTGACGGCGGGGATGGCTTTTAATCTCAGAGAATCATATAAAGCAGATGCAGTGCACTTTGCTGCAGATGGGGGGCGTAGTTACACCTGAGAATCTGGAGGGATCCAATAGGAAAAAAGGGATTCTCAGTGCTTTTGGTCCCTGCTGCCTGAGCCGCGCTCCAACGCTGGCTCTGCCGCTCTCTCTCTCTTTCTCTTGCACACACACACACTTCTCCCCTTCTTCCCCTTTCCTCTTTTCCCGCTCTCTCTCTCTCTCTCTCTCTCTCTCTCTCTTGCACACAAACACACACACACTCCCTCCTTCCTTGCCTCCCTGTCTCTCAGTCACTCATTTCTCCTGCGCTCTCCTGTTTCATCTCTCCTCCGTGGAGTGTAAAGGAGAGGTGATTCAGAACCCGGACTGGCTGACAGAGTTGGGGACCTGAGGGACAGTACGGATCAGGACTGGAGTGTGGAATTCTCCCCGCGGAAAGATCCAGCTCAAGATTTCCTCCTGCGGAGATTTATTTTTTCATTTGCATCACAAAAAAAAAAAAACCTGTGGGGGGAAAAAAAAAGAGGACTCTGACACTATACCGGCTGCACGACCGCTGCCTGCACAAGAGGTGCCATTGAGTGTGTTAATCTGTGTGTGTGTGTGTGTGTGAGAGTCTTAAGTCTGCTCACCTTTTCAGTATGCACATTCATTGGCTTTCCATCCTTTTCTCATGCAAATGTAAATCGGCTGGTCGTGCCGCTCCACGTCTCTGACAGGGGACGCAGACGGAGCCGGTATCTGTGATTGAGGTTTGCACGATTACAACGCGGCGCTCCGTGAATTAGTTCAGCTCTGATGGATAAGTGTATGCGTTAGTGTGTTTGTGTGTGTGTCTGTGACAGGAAAAACACAATCCTTTAAATAATAGATCCCTGGATACGGCATAAAACTTCCAAACTGGGTTATTTCTGAATTAATGTGCTGCTCATTATTTTCCTAACAACCTTGTGTCTTGCATGCATCTTTGCGCACATGTGTGTTGCATGCTGACGTGTGGTATTCGGCGTATCATGCCTGGATGTCACTGCCTCGGGATCACACAGAGGGGGGAGGGGGGGGATAGAGGAAGAAGAGGAAGAAGAGGAAGGGGAAGGTGGGGGTGCTTAATGCAATTTGGCACGGTGCCAAGTTGCTGCTTTAAAAAGAGGATGTTGAAGGTTAGGCGAGTGATGTCTCCTCAGCCTCTCTGCTGCTCCGCTCCCATGCAGAGACGGTTATGACGAGTGCGTTGCTTAAAGAAGCGGCAGCATGAGGAATCCCTTAAGTAACGTCAGACGACTGCCACCCCCCCCCCCTCTTCTCCTTCACCTCCTCCTCTTCTTCTTCATCCTCTCATCCGTCCTATCCTGCATCCTCCATTTGAAATGTGTGGCAGAGTAGATAGATGGAGTATTTGTTGGGGGGGGGGGGGGGGGGGCTGGAGAACTGGAGTTGATGCTTGTTTAGCCCGCTCCTCCCATTTCTTCTACCCATGGGATTTGCCCTTGCCTTTCCATCCCCTACCTCCATTTCTCTGTCGCGTCCTCCATCAGTTTTTTTTTGTCCTGCTGAGCAAGCAAGATTTACTGGTTCTAAAGTGGGAGTCAAACCACAGAACTGGGACTACTGGAGAGATGTGATGTGGGGGGGTGCGGGGGGGAGAGGGGAGCTAGCCCCCAGGGAGAGTCAATGGGTGATTTATATGTAGACATTTCTCCACACGTGTTCGGCCGCCGCTCCAATTAACACCTCCACCAATCCGTGGCCGCACTTGACAGGTTGCTGAGTCCTACAGAGGGCAGAGTGTGTTCATTAGCGTCGGGCTGTGTTTGTTCGTGCCGATTTAGCGAATTCAAATATTTTTGCTGTGTTCTTCAGTGATTTCTGGGTCATTTGTCGCTGCAGTGTGTTCTTGGAAGTTTGGTAATTGCGAAAACAAACACAGTGAGTCAGGCTATTTTTTTTGTTTCTCTGTAATTCACACATCCAGCCTGACCCCATTTCAACACAAGGCCTGACTTGTTTCGCTCCCCCCTCCTCGAGCAATTTCTTTACATCTTCACACAGCCTTTCCTGTCAGAGTGATTGATGTGATGGAGGAGGTCTGATTCTGATTGCTCACTCCTGTCCCTCGTTTTCCTCCAGGGGGCGTGATAGACAAGGACCTGCGCCACTACCTCAACCTGCGCTTCCAGAAGGGCTCGGTGGACCACGAGCTGCAGCAGATCATCCGGGACAACCTCTACCTCCGCACCGTCCCCTGTGAGTTTCCTCTACTGTGCTTTTCCCTCCAAGTACACCCCTTGTCACCTCTGCTTCGAGTACTGACATTTGAGTAGGCCCCGGACTCTCCGGGGTCCCAAAAGACCTCAGGTTGACTGTGTGGAGATGTGTTTGTGGTGATTTTAACAAAGTAGTGGAGTTAGATAGATGACTTTCATAGTATTCTAAGACTTGGAAGAGACAGATTCAAAGAAAGAATAGTCAAGACTAAATCAATAGATGCCTCAATATTACCATTAACTTAGCCCCTTGTATGGTCCGTGCTCCAATAACACGAGACACTACATTTCCCATAATGCAACTCAATAAATTGCTTTCAACATCAACAGTATGACTTGTTGACCGCCCTTTCAAAAACTCTTTACGTTAGGTTCTGTATCAGTCTTTCATTTGTCCTTCTGATGTTCTCTGTTTCAACATCTATCTTAAGAACATTAAACTTTTATTTTTGGCTGACATGGTTCATTTTTGTAAAAGCATCATTTCTCTAAAGTTGACAAATCAACCATGACTCGAGGCCAAGTCGTTTACTCATCTGGATGAGAAATCCTGAAGTGCTCATGAAGATGGAAAGTTTGAACAATTGCCCTGTGCAGACTCAATCTGCTGCTAAGTACTGACTGATATGTCTGAAAGCTCAGTGAGCTGCAACGTATTCTACAAAATCATTTGTATCAATTTACCACAAACTCATTGAAGCACAGCAAACCTGAGATCAAGTAGTTCTCCTGCAGATGAGCACTGGTTGCCTTCTTCTGCCGCATGGGGAAAAGTTGCTATATGTTGTGACTACTGGCTGTACATAAATATGGATATACGGCGTGTCTATGTCTCCTTCCGTTGTACAAAAGGAAGCCAAAAGACCCCTGTGACAGGTTTTGACATATTGCGGTGCTGATGTTATTTGCAACCAAGACGTGAGCGGAAGGGAGCTGCCTGATGGAACAGCCAAATTGACTGATAATGAAGGGACACATTAAACTTACCAATAAAACGTCAAAGTTCCCGCAGGTCAAAGTTTGACCTATCCGTTACCATGGAGAAGGCAGGGTTTATGACCTGTACTGCTGCCAGTCAGCAGGGGGAGCTCTAAATATTTTGGCTTCACTCCTGTGCTGTTTTTTCATGTCCGTCTTAATATACAGTCTATGACCTGAGAGCAGCAGGATACCAACATGAGCACAGAAAGTGGGGTCACGGGGGGGGGGTGTACCTGACCCTTCTTCTTCATTCTCAGTGACCTGTTTGATTCAAATTGCATTTGTAAGTGCAGTTACCTGCTGAGATGCATGTATGTGATGAGATACCTTCCTTCCCTTGCTGCTGTTGGCTTCACCACTAAACTCCTATCTGTTTGCAGTGCTCATCAAATAGCTGTTGAAGAGTTGGTTCGATTCTTTAAATTGAAGTGGTGACTGCAGGCCTCTGTAATTAGCCACATTTTATTGCATCACAAGAGAGTCACAGCTGAGCGTCTAAATGTGATATTTACAATCAAAGATAAGATTCAGAAGGTTGTAAGTGTGGATACTTGGTTCTCAAAGTAAACACTTTACACTTCTCTTAAGGCTGTGTGTGTGTGTGTGTGTGTGTGTGTGTGTGTGTGTGTGGGGCTTTGATTTTCTGATGTAAAATCCATGTTCTCCTGATTCCAATTTGCCTTGCGTCTGCTGAACATCAGTATCAGTCAATGAGCTGTGATTTTAAAGGTGTCTCCGTGTTCACTAGCTCTTATCTGTGCATAGTGTTTGAGTGCTAGCTCTGCATTAGCCTCGCTGTGCCATTAGGCCCAGCTGTCTGGTGGCCAACTCTCCCCTGAATCCTTAATGGAGGTGCTTTCTTCATGGCCAGGAGCAGGCAGATTTTTCCTGGAGCCCCCCTCGCCCCTCCTTCTCAGCCTCCCTCCCTGCACAGAATACAACAGCAGCTATTTGTTTGCAACGGGGACGTAATTTTCTCTGATAACCACTCACAGAGGCGGCTAGCCGGTGAGGCATCGGAGATACAGGGAGAGGTGAACAGTAAAGAGCGAGAACAAATGGGCCAACAAATAGAAGAAGAGGAATACAAAAGGCAAATGGAGGGAAAGGGGAGGGGGGGGACATGATGGGAGGACACGGGCTATGATAACCATGTGGGTAAATGGACTGCAGATAAACCATTGCACAGAAAGAGAGAGTAAAGGGAGGTTAATTTGTGCATTAATGAAGCAGCAACAATGGGCCTCAGTGCTGCTCAGAGGCAGAGGCATGACTGAGCTGGGCTGTTTATAACTGAACTCATGAATGGATCAATGCATGCTGGGTAAACATGTGAACAATTTTAGACATAGAAAACATGCTTTTTGTTCCCTTTTCAACCACTTTTTCATCTATGTTTGCTCTTCTTCCTTCACTTTATGGAGTCCATGTTGGATTATCTCATACTTTTGCATCCACTTTGACCTGGCTTCTTTAAATAAAAGGTCAAATGAAACAAACAAAAAAAAAAAATGGTAACTTGACATTTACCTCAGGGACAAACTGGTAGTTTGATGGATAGATAGAATGGCAGCTTATACACCTGGTTAGATGGAGTGAAACCAAGCTGATGGTGAGGGACACTGACTGAAAAAATAAAAACCAAATAGAGCTGTAGATGTTGAAGCCTTGAAACCCACTTCACCAAAACCAATATACTATTCATGGACAGGTGTTGTGCCCAGTGAATCCAACATCCAAGCTGAGTAGATATAGTCAGTAAAAATGGCATTATCATCAGGATCTCTTCCATTAGAAATTACATTAATGACACAACATTTTTGGAATAACGCTACCTGAACTTCTTAAATATGACACTAGTAGAAATCAAATGATATCTATATCTGTTTTAATACCATAGAAACACATTTAGAAGTCTTAGGAACTCTGATTTTATCTGATTTTGTTCTTGATGTATATCTAGGATGAGTTAGAATCTGGATCTAGATATCTTATCTTGTAAGGAAAAGTGCATGTTAATGTATGAAAGAACACAGAACATGTGGACTCTGCACATCAACATGTTACACATGAGAGAAAACGATTGGCCTCAGTGGTCTCCGGGCAGTTTAAATCTAATTAGACCTTAATGTCTTTGGTGTATTGTTTCAACAAGTCCTCTAAAACAATACACTATAGGATATAATTAGAACAAATCCAAATATTGGATTTTTGAGGCTGACACAGATATGAACAATACTGGAGGTAGGAGGGGAGGGGGGAGCTGAGGGATTTGTTTTGGTCTGAAAATCTGCTCCTAGAAAACCTAAAAGTTTTCATGAAAAGGTTTGGTGCGTGGAGGTGGAAGTGGCTCAGTGGAGGGAGGGGTAAGCCCTCGTCTTTGATAAGAGAGCGGCCACATGTGGAGATTACCAGACTCTGAGCTCTGAACTTTGATTAAGACTTGAGACTCATCCAGGTGTGATTGCCGACCCGACCTCTTCAAAGGTTATCTTACTAAAAAAAAATCAGACGTCATTATCCATGTGGTGTAGATAAAGATCATATGTTAATAGCGGGTGTTAAAAAAATTGACAAATCTGGGCCCAAAAGAAGAAAAACACTCATAAACGGATGTCTGAAGAAATCTTCAGTAAGTGATGAATCAAAAACGTGAGCCTTCAGGGTCAGTACAGCCCGTAGAATTATAAGTTATAGATCTGGAGTGGTTCATCACAGCAATTTAAACACAACCTTTGAGTGGTAGAGGAGAGACATCTTTCAGGGGGGATGGAGGCTGACTGGCAGACAGTAGCAGACTCACTGCCACACATACCAATCGAGGATCTTGGATCTCGGACGGGGCAGCTAAGGCCGTGCCAGCTCTTAGACAAATTGCCTGGTTGAAATCCAAGGTCAGAGCGTTAATAGCCTGAGCCCATGTGAAATCAGGCCTATCGTCTGGTAATCCACACAGATTTGATGGGGGAGATAGAGAGCGGAGAGGAGTGAGGGGTGTAGGCGAGCCTTTGTGCCTAAGTGGTCTATACAGATTGAGCACGGTTGAATTATTTAGGTAAAGTTGAAATGGAAAATGACGGCAATTAGGTATATAGATTTTTATAATTCGACTTTCACACAGTTTAAAGCAGACTTATTTATAGGCAGTGTGTGTGCTTTCATTTGGAGCCTTCAGAGCCTTAAGACAAATATTTTAATGATCAAATATCTGAGGGTTTAGCATGCATTCATTTTGTGACAGTTTTTAGAGTAAATTAACTTCACTTCAGCAAGTTGTATAATAGATATAAACCAGCACATCAAAGGTGTTCCCATGTGATAAAACTTTAAATTCATCAAGTTTGAATGTTTCTTGTATTCCTTGTAATTTGCTTTTTTTTTGGGTGGTATTTGTCTTGGTTGCCCTCCTCTTTGTCTTTCATATTGGCTGTTCTTCCTTCACACACACACACACACACACGTCTTCACATTGTTCTGAGTTCTCCCTCGACACAGTAAAGCACTTAGCCAAGAGTGGTGCGCGGTGTCTGTCTCAGTGTGTGAATGATGGAGCTCATGATTAAGGGGTGAACCGCAGGTAAAAAGGTGAACTGAGTGTCTCACTTACATTTTTTCTGTAACCCTCTCAAAGCGACATGACAATGCACACAGCTGTCGTCAGACGCCTGTCAGAAACAGATCCCCTTTTTGCTGCTTAGTGCTCAGCGTTTGCTTTTATTGTAGATGTGAAGTTTATGTGTTTTTATCAAGGTGGTCCAACAAAACAAAAAGGTTCAGAGTGCATACTGCCATTTGGCTGCTGTCTTTTTCTGAGTTAAGATTTCAAGCTTTCCTTGGTCGGTGAAGGTTTTCTTCCAACAATTCAAAGAGATGGGGCTCGGTGGGTAGAGTCGGGTGTCTCCTAACTGGAAGGTCGAGGGTTCAATCCCCTGCTTCTGCAGCTACATGTCTGATCTGTCCTTGGGCAAGACACTTAACCCCAAGTTGCTCCTGCTTCAT